GGCATTGTTTAAATTTGTTTAAACGATTAAACTCGTTACAGCTAAGGCAGATGGTCATCTCTGAAGACAGACGATGGGATACAACAGCAGAATACTGAACAGAAAACTGAGGCTACAAATCACACAGGCTCACCGAAACTGGACAATAGAAGATTGCAAAAACATTGCCTAGTATGATGAGTGTCGATTTCTGCTGCAACATTTGAATAGCACGGTTAGAAATTTGCGTAAACAGCATTAAACCATGGGTCCGTCCAACCTTCTGTGAATGGTTCAGGGGTCTGGTGTTAGTGTAATAGTGTCTGTGTGTGTGTGTGTGTGGGGGGGGTATTCTGTGCCCCATTTAAACACCACACCCTGCCTGAGTATTGTTGCTGACCATGAACACTCCATGTCACAAAGCGCAGATCATTAACGTGGTTTCTTGGACGCGACAGTGAGTTCATTGTACTCAGATGGCCTTCATAGTCACCAGATCCCAAATCAACAGTGCACATTTGGGCTGTGATGAAATGAGTGATTCACATGATGGATGTGCAGCCAAAAAATCTGCAGTAACTGTGATGCTATCATGTCAGTATGGACTAAAATTTGAGGAATGTCGAGTCTGTGCCATGAAGAGTTAAGGAAGCTCTGAAGGCAAAAACGGGGGTCCAACCAAGCACTAGTAAGGTGTACCTAATAAAGTGACCAGTGAGTGTGAGACTTCGTTAAAATAACGACTCTTCTCATTTGTTTTCCTATTTTTTTTTGTCGTAATCTGTCTTGTTAAGTGAGGAGAAGCTATAAAGCATAACCTTAAATACGGAAATAGTTCAGGTGGTAATTAACCTCGATTATCCTTCAACTCTGGTTTGTTTACAGATGCCACTTAAAGGATTTCCTTTTCTTTCCTTTTGTAAACAAGAAAATGTATGTTTAACAGATTTTTCAGCTTAACTTATACTGTAATCAGTTTCATGTTGTGTTTTATGCCATTTTAAATGGGAAAAAGCCAAATGGAGCTTTCTCAGTTTAAGCCGCCCTCCCTCCTTTGACACAGTGAACTGTATATGATCACACTTTTATCTCCCCGTGACCTATGAACGACTACTCTTTATTGGAAGCCTCCAACTGTTAAACATGATATGAGCACTGTAAACTTTTAAACAATGCCAACCCTTGCACTCAATAGAACTGCCTTTATCTGTGAAAATGACATCCATCGGTAATGATTTCCTCTCCGTCACAGAAAGCATTGCTATAGGAGGCCGGATCAGTGTCACACAGTAAGACTTCAGTCCTCATAATGACTTTTTAAAACTTCTGTTGGAGCACTTTGATCTATTTCTGGCGTAAACAGCATGATTTGTGTATGAAAATTGACTGACAGAGTGTGCACAAGCCATAAACAAAACACATTTTACATATTTATCTGAAATGAATAATTATTGTAGTCCTACATACCAGACTGATTTTTACAGAACAAACTACATGCAACAAATATATTTTAATGTTTTAATTTTCACCTCACGTGCACAGACCATGCCGGTGAAACTTTATCCACCTCATAAAGTCTGGTCTTGCAAAAGCTGATGGTCTTTAAACCATAAACTCGTTCATCTCGTGTCAGAGTTATTATATTGTCAGTGGGGATTTATAACTTTCAAAAGCCTGTCCTGTATCAACACACATCAATAATGGTACTCAAAAGCAGCTATGATCTTCCACTCACTGTGACGTAACACTTAACTAAAGCAAGTCTGTGCAGGCGGATGTTCACCCTGTAAAGAAAATGGTTGTGGTTGGAAAAAACACAGGTTTATTTAGGAAACGAGTAAAAGCGATTTGCTGGATAATAAAATTATGGAAATCCCCCCCACCCCACTCCCCGGATATGCATGCCTTATACGACACAGACCATAAATATTTGGGCTTTTTTTGGTCTTCGCATGTGAAATTACAGATGCTACCTTAAATTCTAAGCTTTATCAAAGTCATATTATATTAAAGCCTGAGGAACTCCAGTCAGTGTGGATGACTGGAAAAATAATTTTACGTGATGGTGGGAAAAAAAACCCTCTAAATATATTGAGACAGCAAAATAAGTCAAGAATGCTTCCTGGTACATAGGCAAGAAAGGTCAGATGATTCATCACGAGACACAAACCCCAGGTAAGCCCTATAAGCAGGTTATTAGGCAGGTTGGAATTTGCAAAACAAGAAACGGGTAAAGATGTGGGGCAAATGTCTGTGGAACGACGAAACAAAGATCAGCCTTTATCCAAATATGCAGAGAAAAAACACAAGCAGGTCACCAGTCGAACAGGTACTCTGGCATTGATTGTTCGATTGATTCTCTACTGGCAGACGCCCAGCACATTACTAAAGCTTTAAAGAATAAATAGGTGAAAGATCCTAAAATGGCAGAGTCAGTCACCTGATCACATTCTGACTGAGAATAAATAAGGACTGGACCAAAGGCAGAAAGATGCAAAGAATATACAAAATGTGCGCTCGTGTGTGGGTGCCTTTTCCACAAAGCATTACGATGAACTTGCGTCTGTCCATTTATTTTACTTTTTTTAAACCACCAAACTTCAGGCACAGCGGGCTGGTCGTAACAGCAGAGCTTACAACAGGTCTTAAGCGTAATCAGTTTTATCTTGGCATCTTAAGTCTGACATAAGAGTTTTGCCTGTTGTGCAATATAGGATTATGCGTTCTTCTGGGCGTGGTGTGAATCGTGAACCTGCAGAGGAGCACACGAGAAGTTAAAATATCAGCTTTTTTTATGACACCGACTCCACAATAAGACTTTTAGAGAGTAGAGAGCTGTGAGGGATGGACAGATACAGCACTGGGGAGCTGTTTCGATTCTCTAAGGAAAGAGCTACTGAAGAGCTGCGACTGGACCTCAACACGGCAGCTGAACATCTTTCCACTTTTTCCTTCCACTGTTTTCTGAACAGATTTCCGAGTTGTTTCTTCTTCTTACCAAACTAGACTCTGCACCTGTGCGTTCTTGCACAGCTTTAGTAATTTTGCTTTTCCAGTGTTGAAGTGGTGAAATCACCTCTTCTTTTATTCCATTTTATTTGCTTGCAAAAGCCAAAATTATAAGTTAGTGAGACACCAGAAAATCATTAAAAATCCACCCCAGCAATTAATGTGAATCACTGGGACTGGGTGTAGTTAAGACTAGGCTTACGCTTGGCTGGTGCCAAGGGTGTAGGTGGGTTTTATCTACTTTTACTCTAGAATCGGGCAATGGTGGCTAAAACTTGTTTAATCTGTGCTTTTTCACCGCTTCCTCTTATGTTAGTAGAGTAGGAAACAATCAGCCGTGAAACCTGTATCGTGATGTATTTAGATTACTTGGGGTGAACTGCACAGCCTGCTGCAGTTACAGAAGCCTGACTTATTGCCGTGTATATGCTTTTGTATTTGCAATTTTTTTTTAAGGATTGTGTGAAATCTGTTAAGTAAGCATTAAAGTCAAAAAGTATTGAGCAACTTATTCAACGGCCCGGCCGCCTCCCTGCTAGAGTTCAGCCGCTGTGTTGAAACGTTATTTCTCTGTGTGAGCACATCTGACTCAATCTCAGTTTCCTATACACACTCACACACACACACACACACACACACACACACACACAAACAGTAGGGAACTTGCGAGCGTGTGTGTGTGTGTGTGTGTGTGTGTGTGTGTGGAGGGGGGTTGCTTTATCTGAATGTATGCATGTGTGTTTCTGTGTGTGTGTGTTGTTACACTAAACAGAAATCCAGCGTCCTCACTTCTCTCTTCTGTTCTCAGTCTGCTGGTTGGCTGACCGCGGACACTCCTGTTCAGCACAGCGCTCTCTCCTTGTCTCCATGACAACTGGCTGTCACAAAGACGTCGCGCTCGCCACGTACCTGAGATCAGGAAGAAGGAAGCGCTTGGTCCCGCCTACGCCAAACTCTCCAAGGAATTCAGGTAGGGTAACCAACACACACACGCGCGCACACGCACACACACACACACACAGACACACACAGATACAGGAATACACTTTACGCAGTCTTGAATGAGAAGTGAATACTGTGACTCAGGGTTGCTGAACCTCAATAACATGATCAAACAAGTATGACATTTTCTGAAAAGATCAGAAAAGAGGATAAAGCGCATGAGACGAGGAAGGACTGTGTGAAGGAGTAGAAAGAAAAAAACAGTTTTTACTTTCTGTTCAGCTTTACGGCAGGACCCTCCTTAACAGAAGTGAGAAACTGTTTATATTGGACATTTAAAGGTTTGGATTTCCCTTTCAGCTGTCAGTCATGCTTTTTGTCACGCTCATGCTGACAATTCAAACACAAGAAACCTGAGAGAGTGCCCGAGTGGGTTGTTATTACACAAAGGTGTCATTACAGAGGGATCTGCAGCGCGCACGTCAGAGAGGTGAACACTACAGTGTAAAGACAGCATGTCATCGTGACCTCAGGGGTGTATGTGTGTATTTGTGAATGAGCGTGTGTGATCATCACTAATAAGCAAGCGGTGGATGAGAGCGATCATGTGGTAGGTGTGCAGGAAACTCCTTTAGAGGAATGCTGCTGAATCTCCTCTCTCAGGTCTGGCTGATCGCACTAACTCACTCAAACACACACACACACACTTGGATTGGACAGGGCCACAGGAGGATAGCATTTCCTATCCGGAATGATAGGAAGGAGGAGGCAGGGAGGAGGTGTGCTGGGGGTATGGGCAGTCAGATTCTGGTTTGGTGAGTTTTAGGAGCTGGCAGTGTGTACACCATACACATAGCGAAAGAGAGAAACAGAAAGGGAAAGACGAGCTGAGAGAGAGGTAGAAGAAAGAAAGGGGACTAAAAGCAGGTGTGTGGAGCGTTTAGGTGACAGACGGCGAAGCTTCAGGAGCGGCAGCACCTTCGCTGAACATCATGCAGGCTTGACTTGAGCGCCGTGACAGTTATGCTGTGCTGTAAGGAAGACAGATTTGTGTGTGTGTGTGGTTGTGTGTATGTTGGGATGAAGAGGGTCCTCTCTGATGTGTGTCCTGGGATGATTAGTGTGTGTTCCAAACTTTTTCCCCTTTTCCTCTCTCCCTCCTCATCTCTCCCCCCTTCTCGCTTCTGAGGAATGTGGGGCTTATGTCAGTGAGAGTCAGGTACAGACTCACTAATTACCAGTGCCCTCCCTCCCTCGCTCCCTCCCTCTTTCCCTCCCTCTCTCTCTCTCTAATGCTTTCCTTCAACTCTGTCACCTCCTGTTCTCTCCTCCACTTCGAGACCTTGTGCACCGGCCTCCTTCTCCCGTCTCCCGCTGTTACGTCTACGAGCGCTGTCGTGACTGGAGCAGAGGAGAGGACAAACAGAGAGGATCTGAGTCAGAATCCAAAAAAACACCAAAAGGAGAAGAGAAACTTTGAGTCGTCCTCTCCTCTGTGTGTGTGTGTGTGTGTGTGTGCAGTGTGTGTGTGTGCAGTGTGTTTGACAGAAGTGTCTGAGATCTCTTCTCATTGTGCTTTGGGGGACCTGTCATTGAAGACAGGAAGTGCCCTGACAGCGAACACGGAGCCGGAGAGAACCTGACTGTCTGTACAAAGGAAGATAGAAGGCGGGAGGGGAAGATGAGAAAGTGACAAGCCGGATCGTTGCCTTTTGACGCCGACGCCGTGACTACACGTCCCATCATCCTACAGGTTGGCTGGGAACTCATCGTGTGTGCACCCCCCCCCCCCTTTTTTTTTTTCTTTTTCAGAAATTCTCTCTCATTTCAGTCTGAACAGTTATGTTGTAAATGTAGCTGGGAGCCATGGTGTGTTTTCTCACCTGGAGGTTTAACAGCACACACTCACACACAGACACACTCACTCACACACACACACATGCACACACACTCACACAGTGGGTAATCTGGAAGGACATTTCTTCAGCTGGTCCAGTGTTCACATTGACCCAACTGACTGCTGTAACCTTCACTGCAAGGTTACGGAGCGAGTACTGAATGTTTATTTGTGTGTGTGTGTGTGTGTTCTATGTGTTCTTGTCTTGTCATCTTCTGTGTGTGTGTGTGTGGGTTTCAGAAACTGGTCGAGCAGGGCGCCAGTTAGCCTTGGGTGTCCTGTTGTTGTGCAAACGAGACTTAGCTGCTCGAGTATATATGTGTGCATATGAAAGCAGAGTAGTGTGTGCGTGTGTGTACCCGTGTGTCTGTGTGTTTTTGTGTGTGTGTGACAGTTTACATCCAGCTGATCTTTTCAAGAACAACTGTCTCACTGACACAGAGGGTATCCGCTCAAATTTGCCAAGCTGTCATTTGTCCAGCTGTAGTTTCTGGAAATATTCACGTGTTTCTCCACATAAGGAAATGCAGTAAGTGATGCCTCAAATCTTATTTATGCTAAAGCTCATTCAAGCAAGCATTCAAAGTACAATAATATACTATGTGTGACTTTTAAATGTCAGTTGAAAGGAAATCAGAGTGTAAAAATGACAGTAAGTCATGTGCCAGTTTACAGTAATTTAAGTTGTACTTGCATTGAAGTTAACTTTAGTTTCTGTTTCCTGGTAACCAGTTTGGCATGCAGTATGGGGCCGGTTGACCAAGTTATTCCTTCATCATTTTTTTGGGGTGGAAAATTTTAAGTTAGATTATTAAAGTGCTTTTAGACTAGAAGTCACATTTTAACCATACATCCATACTGTACTTTATTCTATACACTTATCTACTTGTCTACACTTGTCTACATCTACTTCACGTCCATGTGGGGTAGATAAGCTGGGGTTCAAACCTGGAACGGTGCTAACCACTGCACCATAGTCCCACACGAAGCTTACAGCCAAAGTACTAACCAGGCTAGAACTCTGCTCACTCTCTGAGATCCAATGAGAGCGTCTGGTTTTTGCTTTTTTCAGTATTATTTTTCTCTATAATATTGGAGGTCGTTGTCAGGGATTAGATCAGATTAGCTTCTACAATACAAACACACCACTGTCACTCACAGCCTTGTAGACATCCAGTCTCGGTAAACATTTGCACAGACCTCGCGTTTACTATCTGAGCAAATTTGACCAAACTGACAAAAACTAAAGACAACTACCATGTACGTTTGTTTTATTTGTCAGAAGTTTATTTTATCTCGGTTAATTGAATTGTTCTTTTTCTCACTAGTTTACTCTTTAGCTTAGTTTCAGTTAACTTCAGTGACCTCAGTTCAGGTTTGGGTTCAGGTTAGAGCCAGTTTAAGGTTAGCATGAGGGTATGTCTTCAGGAAATAAGCATAAGTCAGTTTGCTGCCTTCTGAAGTGATGGAAACAAGACGAAATGTTTGTGTACAGATGGCCAGCTTCCGTGTGAATACTGTAAATACCTGGACCTGCAAGGTGTTTCAAAGGTGTGTGTGTGTGTGTTGAAGTGCTGGTCAGACCTGATGAAGTGGTGATACGTGGCTTCTTTAGACATTCTGATGTGAAAACCGAAGCCAAAAATAGAAACCAGTTGAATGGTTAGCATATGGAAGGGGTTATTCAATCGGGGCTTTGCGTTTGTCTGTGTCGCCGTCTCGGACAGTAGCTGTGGCTTCGTTACTGATTGTGTAACCAAGTTCAATAGGTGAACCATTTTTCCGAGTGGCGCTTATCTCTCAACTCGCTGTATCACATTCCACAAGTGGAAAGCACAGAAGCAGACGTCATCTAAGACATACATTTATATCTCGATGTTTGTCCTAGTTTGAATTTATTTTTGCTGTGTTTTGGCCCTGTCTAGTTTCAGGAAGAAAAGACAGATTTCTTAAACCAGAAGGCAACAGGAAGAGATCTTTTATTTAATTAACATATCAGTTTTTTTTTAAAGCAAGAAACCGATTGGACTTTATTATTCAGCAAACCTCAAGCATAAGGAAGAGAAACAGCATAAACTGCACACTCACACAGACACAAGCGTCTGTGACATGTCTGTCACATGATCATCTTATGCTCATGATGGGGAAGCACAGATTCAGTGTGGTGTGTACGCGACAAAACCGTAAGCCTAATCCACCAGCACATAGGCAGAGATCTAGAGCTGCAGAGTAACGAGTGCAGCGGAGAGGCAGAAGGAAACCTGTTAGCGCTATTGTGTTGTTTATGAAACACCTGTAACAAGATCTGATCAGCCTTGCTCTCCTCTCTCTCCCTTTCTTTCTTTCTTTCTGTTTGTCGCAAATACACACATACCGGGAAAGCACAATGGCCACATTCTTCCCCTTTATCAACCCCCCACCTCCCTCTTCAGCTCCCCTCTGATCGGGCCAAACACCGAACAGCAGTGAGCTGAAGGGAAGTTGAACCGAGCTTAAAAAAATAGGGTAACAAGTACAGGTGGAAAAAAAGGGAGAGGAACATATGATTTATAATGTGCTTGTCTCTTCCTCTTGTAACAAAGATGGAAAATAAGGGTTGAGAATGAGAAACGTGGCGGAAAAGAAATGTTAGAAGATTGTCAGAGAGGATGACAAATAAATTTGGAGGAACAGTAGTCATCAGGAGTTTTAAAGGGCCAGTTCCTCAATTCATGAAATCAGATTTTCTGAAAGTCTATCAAACAGAACAAAAGTGATGGTGTTTTTAAAAACCATTGAAAAAAACATTTGTTGAAAGAATTAGTTTTATAATACACGCCTCAAGCGCTTTGGTTAGGGTTTGTTTCACTTTAGAGCAGCGATGTGAAATATAAAGCCCGAGGGCCAGAATCGGCCTGGCGAGGACTCCAATCTGGCCCACTGATGGTTTTGGGAAAAATGTGAAGGAGGACTTAAATCATAGGCTTGCATCTGTATTTTCACAAGTTTTACAGTATTTGCTACCAAAAAAAGCCCTCCCCCGTGGCCATTCACACTACACCCAAGTAATTATGTAAAAGATAGTTTCTGTTTTCATTTTCTACAATAGAAATTCCTGTTTTGTGTTGTTTTGCAATGATTCCACAGTAAGAAACATGAAAGAAAAAGAAAGATTTTTTGTGAATTAAAATAAACGTCCTGTTTCATAATTACAGGATGGTCTGGGCGATGAGCTACCAGATCTTTTTCTGTTTTTTACAATTTAAGCTGAATGAATCAGGCTGACAGATGTCTTTGATTTACTACAGGCACATTTCTTTATTGTGTAGAAAAAGTGAGATGAGCTGTTGAAACTGCAACTTGAAACTTTTTCTTATCTGAGGGATTTAATGTTAAACTTCTTTACACTGACAGAAAGAGAGAGCTTCACTCGTTTGGCCCACTTAAACTTTATGTGGCCCTTTATGTAAAATGACTTTAACATCCCTGCTTTAGCAAACGGCTTGTTGAGATTTAATGAAATATAATTATTATTATATAATATTATATAATAAAATCCTGGATTTGAATCCACCGGGAGTCTTTCTGTGTGGAGTCTGCATCTTCTCCCTGCACCTTGCACCTGCATGGCTTCCTCCCACAGTTCAAACACATGCCTGTTGGGTTGATCACCGATTCTGAATTGGCTGTAGGGTGTAAGAGTGAGCGTGTATTTTTCCATAAAGCATTGAATCTCATAAATGTAGTCTGAAGATCAATCTTGAACTAATTAGCTGATTAAAAAAAAAAAAAAACTACTTTGAAACACGACCCAGGTAAATGGTTGGATCCCTCCTCTAATCACTTCCTGTAACCGTAGCTGTGATTTGATATCACTGGGACTAAACCTCTGACCAGGTCAAGAAAACCCCAGCTCCCTTATTGTCCTCCCTCTTCTGCTCTTAACTTTTATTTTTTTTTAACCTCTGGGCAGAGGTGTCCTCCACAGCGTACTCTTCTTACGGCTCTGTTTCAGTTAAGTGTACGTAGGATATTGGAAAAGCCCTATGGAGTGTCATTAGTTCTGTTTTCTCCCATCAAACTCCTTCAGCTGTTGTTGCTCCTGTTACTCTTTCCTTAGCAAAAGGTTTAAACCCGCTCCCCCCTCAGAAGATGAGAACAGTTCCCGACCAATTCTGTCTGCAGCAATGACATCAGCCCCTCATCCTCCACTGAGGGAGAGCGGTAACAACTCTGACTTGCCATCTCTCTGCTATGAGCCATTTATTATCTGCAAAATGTTCTGCTACAGGCTCTTCTCAGTCTGAGATGCACAACACATTCATCTGTGCTCATCCCTCCAAATAAGGGGTATGAGGGGTTAAACCCTTCAGCCTCCCGTCCAAGCTAAAACAGTGATAACAGCTGTTTAGTTCCTGCCTCTTAATCTGAGAGAACTGTAGCGTGTCATGCACAGATCCTTAGTAATGCTAAAGTAGTCTCATTTTTACCAGAAAGGACTTTAGAGTTACTGTTTTGAAGTGTTTGAGCTTTTAGCTGAGGCCGTCGAATATTTTGATTGAGACGACTGGAGAAAGTAACACCTATGAGTCAAGCATTCATGTGGCTCTTAGGGGGCATCAAAGTAACCCCTCACTCACTCAATCTGGAACCCCCGACTCAAGTCGGCACTGAAACGTAGGACCGCTAGCTTCAAAACTGAAGCATTAAATAGCTTCATGACCACAGACGATCACCTTCAAAACACAGCAAAAGCTGCACAGAGACACTGAGCTTAACTGTCAGGTTCACCAACTCTGTATTTATGCAGTGGAAGGAGTAGAGAAACTATATGACCCACAAGTGAACTTTGTAGATAACCACACCAGCTCTTACCA